TATAAAAATGTTTTAAATGTTACGTAAAATAGAGTCATTTCATTCTATATGAAATATTTAAATATAATTACAAAGCTAACACACCCAAATTAATCTCTCACAGAAATGTAAGTAAGGAGCTACAGTAGTAGATCGCTTAATATATTTAATTCACAAATTATTACATTAATTTAAAAAATATTGGGTGCATGGAAGTTATATAGTTCGGAAAACATTGTTAAACAGAACTGGCTATCACATTCACTTTAAAAAACACGCTGTAATGAATATGTAAATAGAAATTTAAGTGAAGCAAAAAATATGTAACAGTGCATGCAAATAATAAAAAGATGCATGATCACAGCACAAAGTGAATTCTAGAACGAATTATTAACCCAAATATAACGGTCAAAAACGCTTTATATGATTTTAGCGCCTGCACAATAATTTTGGTAGAATCATACAAAATATTGTTCACCTGCTCTCTTGATTAGACCCTGCGCTTTTAGCGCTGCCAACTGATTTGGTTTCAACGTTTCCATCCAAATCAAAAGTAGTCTCAATGTTGTCGCGCCCGGGATCATCATGGTTATTTTTATGTGAGCTTACAGTTTTGATAAGAATGTGATTATCGTTTTCGTGTTTCATCGTATAATCTGTCATATCGAGTCCTGTGTGTTTTTGTTGATGCATAGTCTCTATATTCAAGTCATCCAGGTTTTCCATTGGGCTCAATGCTCGTTCGTTCAATATCGGTGACGTTGGCGATCTTTTCGTATCAAATTTTAACCACGAGAAACGGTGCAGGTGTTTTGGACAATCAACATTGAGATAATAAGCAACAACATGCAACATGAAAAACCCAAAATGAGAACAAATGAAAGTAAATATAAAAATTCATTAAACAATAACATTTGCTTCATTTAAAGTATTCCTTTGAAAATAGGTTCATTTCATTGAACTATGATTGCAAAAAGTAATATACTGATTATATTTTCAAATATGACCTATTGCAAATTGTTAACCAATGGTTTAGCCTTAAGTACCACAAAAAACATAATAATGGAATGAATAAGAATAAAATTAAATAAATTATTTAGCATATTATGCACTTCTCTGTAATGTATATTAAATGTGTAAATGATAGAGCATAGCATTATTAATAATTTTGTGCAGCATTCCATACGATGTTGGAGGATTGTACAATTCTTTGGGTATTGTACCTAATAATAAATGCAAAAAATTCCTGATCCTGTCGTATACTGAAGCATTATCAAGATGAGATTGAGATATTGCTAAATGTCTGCTTAGTCTGCCATCTTGTTGAGAATCACTATACTTAAATGAAGCAACTCTACCGAACATTACAACACTCCCATGCTGTTCAGAAAAAACATATATTAAAAAAATATGAATGATAGTAATATTAGTCGACAAAATAATTCAAGTTTATAAGATAGCAAAAATTCAATGTGCATTTCAATTTACTCTATGGTAAGGTTTATTCTACCATTTAATGATTTTTTTTACTAAAATAATAACTTAGAAGCGTACAAAGCAAATATTGCAAATTTCCTACACTAAAGTTACCTTTTCGAATGTAACGATTAAAATTTTTTCACCTTGAAATGGTTTAGTCGGAAATCAAATAATATTACGAAAAGGATTGGATAATAAAAAATTGAATTTAAAATTTATGTGACTTCAATACCAAAAACGAAAATGATCATCTATAATCACCACAAAGTGAAAAAATATCATTTAATATTTTAAAATTTACTTTCAACTACTAAAATAACTAACGTAATGTATCATTCAAACATCTAAATATTTTAGATTGTTCATAAAAGCATGTCGACTAATATAATAATGTAATTAATCAAATCTAGAAAATTATTTGTGATTTTGTTTTTAGATGACCTTCAAACTTTTTTTTTGTTTGAATGATTCATTTTTAATTTTCCATGATGCACATAATAAAATAACAATTATATTATGTAACATTTTCTAGATTTGACCATTTCAAGTAAAAAAAATAAATACAAATTGTCAACTACAATTTTTAACAAATAGCGATAATATATTCACAGCCAAGTAATTCAAATATCATGACTGTTATTACATGTATTTCATTTTTAAATTCAATAGAATAAACAGTAAAGAATGCAAATGCAGATTTATGAAAATAATAATGATTTCCTCTTTGGGCTCATGCGCCATGTGCTGATATCTCAAGAAGGTCCAAACGGTTTATTTATGAAGTCCTCTTAAAAATTAGTATCCCATAAGTCCTTACTACCTTATATATCGCTTTCTCCGTACGATATGGACAAAATAGTTTTTCAAAATATTGTATTAATAAATAAGTTATTTTAGTTTATACTTAATTTAAAGACTATGTTATTTGTAATTAATGAACCAAAGACGAGTAAGAATGATCGAGACTGGTTATATTAGCAATAAATAAATATACATAACATCCCCCGTTTTACACGTTTTCGATCTTACGTTTTTACAATATTGTTTTTAACGAAATTTATTAATTTGCATTTACATGAAATTATAAACCCTAAAGTATAATCTTAGCTTATATCTACAAAAATATTTTTATTATTTTACTGTCAAAATACAACACTACAAAATTTTTGTCACAGTTGCGAATTCTGAGCACTGTATGTCTACGATGAAAGTATGTGGACAAGATGCGAACTCCCCGTTTTATGATCAAAACAAAATTTTATGTGTGTGTAAGTTAGTTGAAATACCAAAACAAAAAGCATACTCATTTTAAACTTGGTTTTTAATTAGTATTTATATAATTTGTAGCGTAAAATAATAAAAGCTACTTAAGTAATATTGAAATTATTAAATGTGTTTAGTATTAAATATATTAATATTTATTTTTTGTACATTATGTTTGTTATTCATCATATTAAAAATTGACTAAATGACTTTTTTATAGTGATTTTCGTGTAGCACAGATTTTCCATGTAAGTTACACGGTTTTTATGGAACCTATCTTCCGTGTAAAGCGGAGGTAAAAATTAAAAAACAAAACACCATGTCTATAAACTAAGCTCGAAACGAGTACATTCGGTAATATACCGAATGCCGAATATTCAGCTAAGCCCTCCTAACCGAATGACCGAATATGAGGAAAAACTATTCGGGCGGTTTTGAGCACGAAAATTTGTATGGTATGGTGTTCTATGGTACTGACGAACATTACTTTGCGACATTTGTGATTAATAGCGCCAACGTGACAACGTGATTCAAGAAATATACTGTGAAGCAGTTGTAAAAATTAAAAGTTTACTTTCAAAGGAAGATTAACTGTCGACATGTAGATATGATTGCATATATATAAGTTGTTTTTAAATTTTTACTGCACATTTTATTAACTGAGAATTCAATCTCATACAAGTGTAGTATTAAATATCAAGCATTTTGTGGCACACACGTAGCTACTTATGCTTATTAGTAAAAATTAGATAATCTACGAAAAAAAAGATTTTAACTACATCCTAGAATAGTCGGTAGTTTATCGGTATTAGGCCAAATGTAATAAAAAATAGCCGAATAGGCCGATTACCGAATAGATGCCTAATCTAGTTGCAAGCTTAAAGATATATAAATAATCTATTAAAACTCACTCATTTTGCTATATAATCATTAGGATAATGATAAAAACATGGCATAAATTACGCCAAAATGCAAGCAAATTATTTATGACTCAATATATAATATATAAAACATTGCAATTATCGCAATACTCTTAAAAATTGTTTCAAGCTATTAAGAAAATAAACTGTGAAACGTACGTGAAGTACTGTGGGCTGGTAAATGCGGTGATTATTGACAAACGTTGGAGCATCAGTATGTAGAGGTGTGACCACACACGCATTGTCCTGAATTGCAATCAGACAATGTTTAGGCTGAATCAATGGCCCAAACAATTGGACTCCGGCTGATGACGCGCTACCAACCTGAAAGAATAGTATTTTGAACCCAAAAAAGTTGATGTATCTCAGAATCTACGCCAAATGTCATAATATTCATATTCATGTATTACGCTCTCCACTTTATTTACATAGCATACAAATTGTACTTCGAAACGAATTGGGATATAATCACAACAAAAATGGGATATATATAAGTAACCAAGTATATCGAGAAAAAATTCCCATTGCCAAAATACTAACTTCTAAGGGTTCCAAACTGATTCTAATGCGTCGACCGCCCTCCAATTGTTGACCGTGAGGTCCCATTTCAATCAACGCCGGTCCTTCGCTCCAATCTAATCCTCCACTAGTGGAACCGTTTGGTCCAGAAAGCGGTTTCTTTTTCCGCCGACGTGGTTGCGCATCGGCTGGTCGTCTTCGCACGTGAAACATTATGGAACCTGTATAATTAAAAATATTATCATGTCAGCTTTGATGTATTAAATTCATACAGTACATGTGTGTATTGCATTTTTCCTTTCCATTCTATTAGACGACATTAATAAAAAAAAACTAGCATCAGCTTATATAATCATATAATATTAGTCGTAACAAAATTCGAACAAATTCTGACAAAAATAAGTGTATATATATATATATATATATATATATATATATATATATATATATATATATATACATATATATATGATTTAGTAGTTAATTTTGATGTTGAGATATATGAGTAAGTTCTTGCGGGCGATACATCAAACAAAGGCAAAGATTTATAAAATAATCTTTAATTCCAAGCGTTTCGACATACAATTTGATGTCATCATCAGTATATGATGGATATTGAACATGGTATTTTATATCTAAAAATGTGTACACATCACAGAATTTTGCACTAACATTGATACAACTAACCAGTCGATAATCATGAATTTTTGTAATGAAAAAAATAATAAGAGTTTTGTTTTGCAAAACTGTGAAAAAATTCAAGTATTTTGGCTATGTACTGGCTATGAATCCCGAGGTTAGAGTCTATAAATTTATACATATTGTTAAAATCTCTATAAAATATCTGATAATTTGATGTGCATATTGGCGGTCTAATGATCATTTTTGACCGCCAAATGGCATTTTCTTTTTTACTTTTTTTCACTAAATCGCCGAAACCGCTAGACCTGCCTTCGTGGAAATTTGATCAGTTCTTCATCTTGTTAATACAAGTAAAATGTTTTTTGAATTATTCAAATCGGACGCTTCGTTCTCTTAAAAACTGAGTTAGCGTTTTTGGCACTTTTTGCCCCATATCTTCGGAACGGCTAGACCTGCTTTTGCTAAAAACTAATCAGCAAGTCTCCTTATCAATACGAATCGAATGTTTTTTGAATTATTCAAATCGCTTCATCCGTGTTCCCGAAATCGTCGACGAAAATTTGTATCCGCGCACACACACATAAACGCACGCACACACACATACATATACATACACATACACATACATAAGTAAAATGTTTATGATTTATAACATTGTTTATAACAAGTTAAGAATTGTAACATTCTAGATCCTCCCCCCACGAAGTAATGCCTAGCGGCGGTTTCCGTGGGGACCAGAGGCAGGGGCAAAGCGGAGGTTTTAGTCGGTATTATACCAGGGCGGTATCGAGTCCGACATACCCAGACAGAAGACCGGTCTGGGATGCATAAAAGCATTTCCTTCGCTATACAAAAAAAAAAAAAAAAAAAAAAAAAAAAAAAAAACACACATACATACATTTTTTCTAAGGTATGCCAAAATGTTCAGAAGGTTTTGAAACGTAAAGATATATAAAAATTTTCATTTTCGATTTTTTGCGATTACTATAACTTGCCTTACGGGAAGTTAAATATGTTTCCAATTGAAAATAAGCCCATCTCTAACACTGCGGTGTGAAATGGAAATGGAAAAAACTGTCACACTACTTCTTCCGTGAATCGAGTTGGAGTTTAACTCAGCTCACAGTCCTGCCTTACTACCCACTATTTACGCATATATGTATGTATATATAAGAAATAGACATACCATATCCCGAATGAAGTCAATAAAAAATTAAATAAATAATTTTCCATGCGTAGTAAAGATCGTTTTATAAAGGGTATACCAATTCATGAACCAACTTACTGAAGTCGATACCTACTAAAATAAGCACCATTATCAACTTAATAGATCATGCTATATCATTGTCTCATAAATTTTTGAAGAACAACCTCTCATCAGTATCACAAATCGTAAGTAAAAATTCTTATCCTCAACATTTGATCCAATCCATAACTAGAAACAGAATTTTATACCTCCGTAAGTAAGTAATTTAGTATACAAATTAAATTTTCCAAATTGCCAAGGGTTTTACATTGGCAATACTAGTCAAAATCTACACAAAAGAATCTCTCAACAAAGAAATAATTCAAAAAATAAGAATCAGTATATAACAATGCTTTCAGAAAACATAAATAACCTTCAGCATAACATTGACTTCCTAAACCCGAGTGTTTTACATTTTGAAACCAATATATTTAAAAGAAGATTTAGTGAATGTTGTCTAATATCGTTAATCAATAAACAAGAGATTTCACAGCTATTCTCTCTGCAATGATTACAAGATATTCCTCGACAATTTTTCAAACAATATTATTACTGAATGAAGCGTGTCCCTTTTTTTTATTACTTTCAGAAACCATATGTTTTTACCAGTTTGCACATTATTAAAAAAAAATCTTTATAAACACATTTATTCAGCGTTTAGACTTCAACAACTATGTACACAAATTTAGTTTTTTAACTCTAATTCATAATTAGTTTTAAATGTTTAAACTAGTGATAGCTTGGTGTTACAATTGTGTTAATAAGTGTAGTGTAGTGTTTGATTGTTTTTGTCTGTAAGTACCTATCTTTAAGTCCAATATGTTGTGAAAATTTTCTTTTCTAAATTAATTATAAAAAAAAAACGATTGGATTAATAAAGCTGTTTTCCTAATTGCTTTAGTTTTTTTTTTACTTAGTGGTATTGCCTGAATCAACACACTCGTTTTAATATATATCAACACCAAATTTACATACTCCAATATATATATAATATAATATAGGGCGTCAAGTAAAAGTTCTTTTTTCTTATTCTTGCTCTGTTTATATTTAGTTTTTAACATTACTTTTTCTGTTTATTTCAAAATTGTAAAACCACTGATGATAACGTAGAATTTTACGTTAAAACGTATGAAAAAATAAAGATGTTTTAGAAATCTTTACTTTATTTATGATTTACCTCCAAGAAATTAATCATGTATTTCAACATCAAATTTAAACACCTTATATATACATACATACATATACACCTAAGTCTGTTTTTACACGGAGATTGGTTCCAGAAGAAGCCGTGTAAAAAAAAAAGTGTAAAAAAAGACATTAATCTTATACAAAAATGGATTATTTGTCCTACTCTCTAAAACCTATTAAAATTAGTGAAAAACAAGAATTTTCAAGAACAAGAATTCATGTTTATTTTAATAATAATTCCCCTAAATTAGTGCTATTCACATTTGCTTTGACCAGTAAAAATTAATTAAAAATTGTTTGTACGCGCTAAAGGGGAATTCACTTAAATCTTTAAGCTAGTGTTCGCAAACTATCGATACTATCGATGGTTTCAGACTTTTTTCTTTCATAAATACTTTTTTGTGATATGAACATACTTCGCAAAAATTAAATTTGACAAAAAAAATTTAAGTACATAAAATTTCAAATCGTGCTAAATGGAATAAAATCGTGTAAAAAAATTAAAAATATTCAATTTTCAAACCGTGTTATATCAAAACCGTGTACAAAAAGACCGTGTAAAAACAGACTTAGGTGTATATATATATATATATATATATATATATATATATATATATATATATTGAATGGTAGAGTCTGGATTTGTGTATATTTTGTAGAGTTTCGAACAAGAATCCAAAAATAATACAAAATAAAAAACAAGAAAAGTTTTAAAAAAACAATTTCTTTATTTAATTATTTGTTTATTGTCGACGTTTCGGAACTAGGTACGTTCCATCTTGACAGATGTCCTGAAGATGGAACGTACCTAGTTCCGAAACGTCGACAATAAACAAATAATTAAATAAAGAAATTGTTTTTTTAAAAACTTTTCTTGTTTTTTATTTTGTATTATTTTTGGATTCTTGTTCGAAACTCTACAAAATATATATATATATATATATACCATATAACCGTCAAATACGTTGATCAAAAGTTGTAATGTGAAGTTTTTAAATTTCGCGGGCAAAGTACATATGATCAGAAAATCACCGAGCACAAAAAAACTATGTTAACCTATTTTTCAAAAACAAACTAAACATGCTATGTGTTGGAAAATGTAAACATTCAACAAAGAGAAAAATCAATAATCGAACGTACGGTGCCAGCAAAACTTAAATCGTTCACATTTTGCAACATCTATATACACCGTATTCGTAAGCCAGTATCGTGTGTTTGCTTATAGCAACTTATAGGTTGCTTTTGTAAATAGAAATACACTAGCGAATGTTTAAAACCAAATAAAAATGCAAAATGAATTATATATAGAATATACATACATATACTTATACATAAAATACATAAAATAATAAATGATAAAATGTCGAAACGTGTAAAAAATCATCTTTATTTGAACCATTTAACTGAAAAAATATCAATATATTTTAAGGTCAAACAAAAAGTACACACATATATATGTGTGTACACCTATACTCCGTTTTACACGGAAGATAGGTTCCATAAAAAATCGTGTAACTCGAAAAATTCACTTTTATATAGAAAAACCGTGCTAAACAAAAATAAATCACTTAATAAAAATCCTTTTTATCTGTTTTTAATATAATGAATAATAAACATATTTAAATAATTATTTCAATAATGGAACAAATATTGAAAGAGTCCTATTTATATATTGGTTTTTCTATATAATATAAAAATTCATTTAAGTAAAAATATAAAAAATCATTTAAGTTGATTGCTATAAATAAGACTTAACATACTATTTTCGTTTCAAATAATCCATCTTATACACGCATAAAATTTAGTTTTGATCATCTTATATATAGCATATGGATAAGAAAGTCGAGTTTTCTACAAAACAAAATAAGCCATAAAATATTGCTGATACCTGCAAATAATCGACTGATCCAAATTAATTTAATTAACACCGTTCACATTACATTTATGTTCCAGATATGTATTTTATTTAAGTGCAAACGTCGACGGTGATCAGTACAAAACACAAAACCGAATATTCAAGTTAGGTATGTACGTGTCATAAACGCGCAAATTAAGCTTTGTTAATTTTTTATAATTAGAACATTTTTTGCAGTCTAGATCATAAACATTGTCATCAAAATCGTAAAAAATCAACAAATCAAGGGT